GAGACAGGGTCTCACTATGTAGTTGAGACTGACCTGGAACTCACGATGTAGTCCAGGCTGGTCTTGAACTCAGTGATCCTCCTGCCTCAGCCTCCGGAGTGCTGGGATTACAGGTGTGTACCACCATGCCGGGCAGTAGCTCTTAAATGTACAAATCTTTTTAAACAATGAAGCTACTCATAGGCAGTAAATGTGGGGTAATGAGGCACCAGACAAGAAGAAGTATAAGGTTTATTATGGAGGCATGATCAGGGTAGGAAGAAGCAGTTCTGGTGCTACTTCCCTAATCCCAGAGAAAAATTTCTCCCAAGTTCCCAATGACAGCCCCTCTACCACCTGCAGACTCTGACAGAGATGGTCAGAAATGACTTCCAAACCAAGGACATAAGAGAGACAGCATGTGAGAAGCCATGGGCAGTTTCTGAGATGCACCAATAAAGGTCGTTTGTGTTCACACTACTCTGGCTTTGCAAGACTATTTTCATGCTAAAATGAATCCAACCTATGTGAATACAGCTCCTAAAGGGAAGGCTGGAGCGGGCAAGGGAGAAGAGAGGTGTCTTACTTGAGTTTCGATTAAAGGGCTGCTCCAGGATGCTCCAGGCTGAAGTCTGTGAGCCCAAGATCGCTCTGACACGGAGGTTATATGGCACCGTGGCAGTGATGTCATCAGAGACATCACACTCAGCATCTTCAATGGGTGAGCACCATTTACTGGGGATCCAGATGTGGCTCGTGTACAAGCTCTCATACTCCCTGGCCAGGAGAGGAGGACACAGTGTCATTCAGCCTCTGTGACTCAGGCTCAAAGATGGTGGTAACTGCCTTCTTTTTTCCTACTTTTTCTGGATCAGCAAAATAAGCATTTGCTCCCCACCCCTGTTCCTCTACTCTTCCCTCACCAACCATCCATTTTCCTTGCTCCTTTTATAACCAGCCACGGGAAGCCTAAGCAAGAACCCTGATCTTTCCAGTCCCCTCCATGTCCACAGTCACTACCTGAACCCCCATTGCCATCATGCCTTGCCTTTCTGTAGCCTCCTACTGTCCACTTCTGTTCTCTAAGCCACCCACTCTGCAGATCACGTTTTTGTTGTTAATAGATCCTGAAGCAATTAGAATGAAATCCAAACTCTTCCCTGTGGCCTGCAAGATTCTAGCCTTCTCTCTCCCAAGCCTATAAAATTGAAAAAAAAATTTTTTTGGTATCAGGGATCGAACTCAGGACCTTGACCTTGCGAGGCAGCTGGTGGCACCACTGAGCTAAATCCCAAGCAGCCAAGTGTGGTGGCACACACCTATAACGCCAGCATTGGGGAGGATGAGGCAGAAGGATTGCCATAAATCTGAGCCCAGACTGGGCTACATAGCGAGTTCAAGGTCAGCCTGAACTACATAGTGAGACCCTGTCTCAAAAAAACAAAAACAAACAAATGGGCTGGGGATTTAGCTCAGTGGCTCTGCACCCAGCTTATAAGCACAAAGTCCTGAGTTTGATCCCTGTCACAAGAAAAAGAATATTTTTTCATTTTTGAAATGTTTTTCTTTCTTGTTTTTCTTTTTTATTCATAAAGTTTATTGGTACATTTTAGCTGTACAATATAATGACATTCATCTTTGGAAATTTGTACTTTTACATAATAAATCTTGGTTGTTTTTTTCCCCATTCCCCTGCCCTCCCTTCAACCCCTCAACCCTTCCATATTTACAAAGACCAACTTCTGGTCATTCTTCCAAAATGTCGAACTCCTTTTGCCTCAGGACCCTGACTATCTATCTGTTCATGCTGTTTCAAATGCTCTGCCCACACCGCTCACCCCAATGGTTCTTTGTGGCCTGTAGATATGGTATAAGTATCACCTCCTCAGAGAAGCCTTTCCAGCCACCTAATATGAAGAAGACACACAGTCAGCTCTATCACATCAGCCTCACGGCTGCCTCCTAGCACTGATCACCACCTGAAATGGCCTAGAACAGGGCTGCCCAGAGAACTTTCTATGGTGATAGGGATGTTCTGTGTTGGTGGTGTTCAATATGGTAGCCACTACTCATGTGTGGCTCTGGAGCACCTAAATGTGACCAGTGACTGGAAAGTAGATGTTTTCATTTCAATTTAACTGAAATTTAATTTCATTTCAGTTTAAATAGCTACCTGTTGCTAGTGGGTACTGATTGGAGAATGCAGACCTAGTATATTTACTGTCTCCTCCTCTAGATATTAAATTCCCTATATCCAGAAAACCAGCCGACCATATCCCTGACCTAAGTGAATGTCTATACATAGAGAATTCAGTTTATATCTATTGCTAATGAAATTTATTAAGCACCTTCTCTGTTGCTGCCACTTAACAGTAGCAAGCACCTGGAAACTTAAGAGAGGACAAAAACCTTTTTTTTTTTTTTTTTTTTGGCTTTTTGAGACAGGGTCTCACTATGTAGTTTAGACTGACCTGGAACTCACTATGTAGCCCAGGCTGGTCTCAAATTCACAGCGATCCTCCTGCCTCAGCCTCCCGAGTGCTGGGATTACAGGCATGCACCACCATGCCCAGCTACGAAGACAAAATCTTGGTAGGTTCCAGGCAACCTCCTTTAGGGTCAAGACTTGTTTGACTTCTAAGTATAAGCTCACAGTCAGGAAGAATGACATCACCTCTGTACACCAAGGATGTGGGTCTCCAACCACTTACCATTTCAAGTCAGGATCAAAACTCCTTGGACAGTTGATTCTGCGCTGAAAGGAAGCTGCTTTACAATGTACTTAAACACATTTGTGTTCCCAGAAAGTTCACTGTCACATCCACAGGATGATTTCCCTTGCTTTTCCCAATGCCCATGCACTGAGGGAGCAGATCACTGGAGATAATCTATCTTAGCTCACAAAGCCTTCTTGAGCTGAGCAGGAAGGACTGTGCCTACAGGAGCCAACTGCTATCTCAAAACAGAAATAAAACTCACCCCTGGTACTCCACAGAATAGTACACTGTTTCTCTGGGCAGGACCACTGGGCTCCACATCAAGAGATGCTTCATGTTGGCTGAGTGTACAGAGAGGTTCTGAGGGGCGGGCAGAGCTTCTCCTCCATCTGGGGTAAAAGCAGAAAGAGGCTGGTGCTGGGCAGACAGCTGAGGAATGCCGTAACTTCAAGCTAGTGGCTAATGAAAGGCCTCGCAGATCAGAACAATTTTAATTTTAGCATATTTGTGCTAATGCTAAATTTTTGCTATCATTGTAATTCTGTCTTTGTGACAAAAGAACATATTAATAGTAATAATGGCTAATCTTTACCAAGCACTTACTTACTTTATTCTATTTAGGCCATGTGCTAGATTGTTACACAATTATCTCATTTAATCTTCATGTCCATACTTGGAGTAAGAGCAATGAGCTTCTCCATTACAAAAATGAGAAAATTGAGGCATATTATGTATATATGTGTGCATGCATTTATTTTTTATAAACATAAACATTGCACATATTTATGGGGTACCTACCATGTGGTGTTTTGATGCATGTATACTATGTGTAACGTTCAAATCAAGGTAAGCATACCTATCTCCTCAAACATTTATCATTCCTTTTTATCTTTATTAAGTTTATTGGTACATTTTAGGTATACAATATAGTTACATTCATCATTGGGATCTTGTACCTTTACATGACTTATCTTGCTTTTTATTTTTCCCCATTCCCGAGCCCTCCTTTCACCTCTTCTTATCATTTGTGTTGAAAACATTCAAAATCCTTTCTTAAAGCCTTCTTGAAATATGCAGTGCACTTATATTATCTATAGTTACACTATTCTATAGAACACTAGAACTTAACCAGTTCTATCCATGTCACAAATGAAAAGGATTTCATCCTTTTTATGGCTAAATAATATTCTGTTGTGTATATATACCACATTTTCTACATTCACTCATCAGTAGATGGACATTTGGGATGTTTTCATTCTTTGGCTACTATGCATTGTGTTGCAATAACATTGATTTTCCTTTGCTGGATCATATAATGGTTCTATTTTTAATTATTTGAGAAAGCTCCATGCTGTTTCCCATAGTAGCTGTACTAATTTACTTTCCTAACAATAGTATGTAAGTGCAAGTGTTCCCTTTTTTCCATATCACCATCTTTTCTTCTCCTCTTAGTACTGGGGATTGAACCCAGGGCCTTTGCTACATCCCCAGACTTTTTTTTTTTTTTTTTCCAAAACAAGGTCTTGCTATATAGTACAGGCTGGCCTTGAACTCACTATGTAGCCTGGGATGGCCTTGAACTCTCAGTGATCCTCCTGCCTCAACCTCCCAAATCCTGGGATTATAGGTGTGCACCACTATGCCCAGCTATTTTCCAATCTTAAAATGAAATTATTAGTTCTTTTGTTTTGCTATTGAGTTGTTTGAATTCTATATGTATTCCTCATATTAACCCTGTGGTACATTTTTTGTACTCTTATTTTAGACTGACCTAGGTCCAGGCCTTCACTCAGCCATGTACTATGGCACCTTAAGAAATCTGCAGAAAACTGAGCCTTCTACTTCTTCAGGGCAAACCCATGTAGGCTCATTCCAGCTTCTCGTGTCTTTTCCTGCTGTGGTCACCTATGGGTATCACAGCATATCCTTTCACAACCCCAACAAGGCTAAATGGGGTATTGACTTCCAGGTGGGAAGTGCAGGCTCAGGTCTGCTGTGGAGGGAATGCAGTCCAGAGGGTTACAAAGTCAGAGACTCCACCCCAGGAAGACCGCAAATTCTTGAGCTAGGCTGGGACATAAGGATCTGCTCACATAGATGTGTGCAATCTGCCTAGAATGTGCACACAGTTGGTCAACAGTTTGCACAAAGTGAAATCAGGCTGTGAGGCTGAACTTGCATTCATAAGGACTTTAAGAAACTTAGAAGTTCAAAGCCCAACTTCACATGCAGCCCTGGGATGAAATCTAGACCCGCCTTTTCTCCCTTTCACACACTTCTCCTGAAAACACACATTTACCTCGCCCTGATTTTACAGTCATAGCACAAACATAAACATCAGCATCACAGTGGATTGAGGGGGGTGAGCTACGGCCCTTACCCAGGATGTTTCACCTCTGTGACAGTTTCCAGAATTAGGGCCTGCTGTTCATTACCAAGCAGTGTGACCCCAAGGGAGTGGAGAGGTGGTTCTAGGGACGCTCCCTATCCGATTCCCTTGCCTCTTTTCTAATGTAAGACCTTAGTGATACACCTTCATCTCACTCAGCACTTAAGAGTGCTCTGTGAGGAAACATTTGGAACACCAGAAGGGAGACTTCCTGACCTGTCCATCCCTAACTTTGAAATCACCAAAGAGATAGAAAGGAAAAGAGCCAGTGAGGGTGAGAATGGTACAGGAGAGTGAGACCTCTTTAAAAGACAAAAGAACTGGAATAACTAAAACAATTTTTAGGTTGCTGGGGATTGAACCTAGGCCCTTGTGCATGCTAAGCACATGCCATACCAGCAAGGTACAATCCAACCCCCAATTAAGAACAATTTTGAAAATGAATAAAGTGGAGGAATCAATCTACCCAATTCCAAGACTTCCAGTAATTCAGACTGTGTGGTACTGGCAAAGAATAGACTCATAGATTAATGGAACAGATCCCAGAAATAGATTCACACAAATGTGCTAAAATGCTTTTTTGGCAAAAGGTACAAAAATAATCCAGTGGAGGAAGGATAGACTTCTTAATAAATAACATTGGAACAGTTAGACAGTTGCAGGAAAAAAACGTGAGCCTAGTCAGGAATTTAGCTCCATGGCACCACGCCTGCCTCGCAAATGCATGGTCATGAGTTCAATCCCCAGGTACCCCACCCCCCAAAAATTGAGGTTCAAACTATGTAATTTATGTAAAAATTAACCCAATATCCCAATATGGATCATAGATTTAATGTAAAGGATAAAATTCTAAAACTTTGAGGAAAAAATCTAAAATTAAAGTTCTTAGATTTAACAAGAATCCTAAAAGAAAAAAAATGTTGAATCTTATCAATATTAAAAACTTGACCTTGCACTTGTAAGGCAGGCAGCAGAAGCACTGAGTTAAATCCTCGACCCAAAATTTAAAACTTTTGCTCTGGAAAAGAGTCTGATAAGGCAAACTACACAGTGGGAGAAAATATTTTCGAACTGTTATTTCTAAGATATTTAGTATCTAGAACACATGAAAAACTCTCAAAACTCAAAAGCAGAAACATCAAGCAATTCCATTAGGAAATAAGCAAAAGACATGAAAGGCATCAAATACGAAAAGAGGATAAACAGCAAATAAGCACATGAAAAAATATTTAACAGCAGTAGCTATTGGAGAAATGCAAATTAGCACCACAATGAGGTAGCATTGTACAGCTACTCGAATGACAAAAAAATTTAAAGTAACAAAACCAAATACTGGTAAGAAGGGAGAGAAACTGGACCAGACCCATCACACATTGTTGGTAAAACTCATTCTGGAAAATACTTTGCAGGATTTTGTAAAACTAAACAGCAATTACTGTCAGGCCTAGCAATTGCATTCTTAAGCATTTACTCTAGAGAAATGAAAAGTTTTTATCATGTAAGACCTGCACACGAATGTTATAGTGAAACTGAAATTAGCTCAGACAGCTTTCAAAAGTTGAATAGTTAAACAAAGAATGGTCCATACAAACCACGGACAGAGGACATGAGCAATGAACCAGGTGGCCAGCGGAAGTTGGAAATGGCAAAAGAAGCAGATTCTCCCCCTAGAACCTTTAGAAGAAACTCAGTCTTACCAACATATCCCTTCCCTCAGTCTTTTAACCACATAACCACAGTATGAAACCACAGTATGTACATAACCAGAGTGTGAAAACTAATATTAATACCGATGTTATATCACTAGATAAACCTCAGCCTTTATTCAAATCACACCAGTTTCTCCTTTAACACTTTCCCCCTCCAGGAATCAGTCCAGATTCCCCACTTAGCTATCACATCTAGTTACTATAATCCCTTCCTTGTTGTCATTCTCGTCTTTTATGATTTGACATTTGTGAAGAGTAAGGGTCAGCTGAGCTTGGGTTTCATGTTTTCACATGACTGATTGAGGTTATATATTTTTGTCATGTACTTGCAAGAAGTACATTATGTCACTATGTCTTATTACGAGGATGTTAATCTTGATGACCTGATTAAGGGGCAGTATCTCCACTGTTAAGCTGCTAATTTTCCCTTTGGAGTTAATAAATACCTTGAGAGAGACACTGAGATTATGTAATCTATTTCTTTTCACACTCACCCATTAATTTCAACATCATATTTGTAGATATTCCCTACAACGATTATTTGCTGTTACATTCTAATAGTGATTTCTTATTTATTGAAATTATCTTCTAAAGAAGAGCTATTTCTTCTCAATATTTATTTATTATTTGGGGGAGTTCTTTTTTTTGTTTGTTTTGTTTTGTTTTGAGACAGGGTCTCACTCTGTAATTCAGGTTGGTCTTGGACTCACTGTGCAGCCCAGGCTGGCCTTGAACTCACAGCGATCCTCCTGCCTCAGCCACCACATCCGGCCTCATTCATTTATTTATATCTGTATGGACTCATATATATTTATTTTATTCTATGGTTAAAATCCAGCATTATTGTTATTTGTTTTGTTATTCAAATTTTTCCAACTTTGGTCTTTTGGAAACACAGATTAATTCCTGTGTCTATTTGGCTTGTTCCCTCCCCTTTTTCATGTTTTTTTAAAAATAGAATTTTAAAGTTTGAGTAACTTTAGATCTACAGAAAACTTGCAGTGATGGTAAGAACACAGAGTTCCTATATACCCTTCATTCAGCTTCTCCCAGTAAGAACATGTAACCATGATACATTTATGAAAACTAAGGAACTAAACAGAGACACTACTACAACTAAACTCCAGACTTTATTTGGATTTTGATAATATTTCCACTAAGGTTTTGTTTTGTCTTTTGTTTTGTTTTCTCTGTTTCAGGATCCATTGCAGAATATTATGCTGTATTTAGGGCCCCACCTTTGAGAGGGTTACAAAGAAAATTGAACCCAGGGCTTTTATACTGAGCTACATTCTGAGCCCTTTTTAAATTTTGAGACAGGATCTTGCTAAAGCTGGCCTCAAATTTGCAATCATCTTGCCTCAGGTTCCTAGCATGCACCATCATTCTGGGTTAACTTCCCCACATCCCCCATTACTATATCACTTTCTTTCTTTCTTTCTTTCTTTCTTTCTTTCTTTCTTTCTTTTCTTTCTTTCTTTCTTTTCTTTTTCTTTCTTTTTCTTTTATTTTCTTTCTCTTTCTTTCTTTCTTTTTCTTTCTTCTTTTTCTCCCCCTCCCTCTTTTTTTGTAGTAGCAGGGATCAAACGCAGGATACTTAGGGTATACTTGTGAAGCAGCTCCACTGACCTAAATCCCTAGCCTGAGAAGCTATCTTAAAGTTTTAAAAACTTAAAAATTCAAAAATAAAGGGCTAGGGATATTTGTAGCTCAATGTGAACACCTTGGGTACAGTTAATGGAGAGAAAGAGGGGAGCAGAGGGAGGCAGAGGGGGAGAAAAAGAAGGGTGGGGAGGGAGAAGAGGGAAGGAGGGAGAAAGGGGAAGAAAGAGGGGTGGGGGATGGGGAGAGAAAGAGATGGAGGGAGAGAGAAAGAGAGAGATAGGGAGAGGAAGGAGAGAGAGAGAGAGAGAGAGAGGATACAGTAGAGTTAAAAATATCTAGATCCCCAAATGCCAAATACTTCCGTGCATTTTCCAGAAGGTTTTGTGTTCTCTGAAACAAGGGACTGTTCATCTCTATAATCAGCCCGGCCCGGAACCTGACACATACAAGTGCTCAAAAATGCTAAATGGATTAAAAATTAAATAAGCAAACAAAGACTTGGTGCTTTTAAGGAAACTAACCTAGGCCTGACTTCTTTCTTAATCTTTCATTCATCTTAAATTAGTCCTTTTTGCAGCTCTAAGCTTTATGCTACAAATTTGTCTTCTAAAATCTTGGGACCGGTGCCTGCCCCCTGCAGTGCAAGTTGGATCCCTGGTACCCAAAAAAAAGAAGGGAGTGGTGGGGAGCAGAAGAAGGCTACTTCTCTATCACAAAGCTGTTGGGTTCAGGTTTCAGGCAGAAATCTTTGCATCTCTTCCTGTCAAGGACCCCCACTGGGTAGAAAGTAAATATAGAAATATGTAAATATACTTGGACAAATAACTGAGTCTTTCTAGGTCTGTTTCCTAATATGTAAAATGGGGATTACATTAATGGATTGATGTAAGAAGTCAAGAGAACATTTTTATTAACCCTAAGGACAGTGTGTACTCAGATATAGCAATTGTGATCATCCTTATTGTTACTATTATTAACTAACAGCAAGGATCAGTTTCCTAAACCATACTATTATTTGTAAGGGACAAAGCAAGACATATTTCTAATGAAAGAAGCAACAAATCTACCCATCTGTCTCTCTAGTTACAGATGGTAGTTCATTTAGAATTTGGAGAATTCATCAGAGGCACCCACACAGTATAGAGGATGCATAAAGATAACCTCAGCTAAAGCAATTATTTGCCAACACCAGCATGTTTTCATTACCAACAGATAAAAATAATTAATATTTGGGATGACAGATGTTGAAGTCTTCAAATGATTTTATTTGTTAAATCATCTTATCTAACACCTCACAACCTTAAGGTCGCTATTATAACCATTTCACAGATGAGAACATTGATGGTACATGGTATTGTTATTAATACCATGGTGATAGAGCCAACACTTACACAGGAGTCTTTCTGACTCTTACATCCTGTGCTTTCTACCTTTTTTTTTTTCCTGCGTAAGTTTTTAAGAGCACTCTCACCTCAAGGTCTGTTTGAAGCAGGAATTTTTAAGATAAGGTTTTAAGACTGAATTATTGAATACAGATATATATATATCTGTACTGACCTTTATACTTTTCATTCCACTTCCCATCTTCTATCTTCTCCCTTGTTTCAGTGCAGGAATGTTTCCCTGACTTTTTTTTTTTTTTTTTTTTTTT